ACGTTTTTCGGAGCACATGGAGAAACTTGTTGTTAGTGTATCTAGAAACACTACGAGTTATCAATAAGCCAAATTTTGCAGAAAAATAGCATAAAACTTCTAGTGAAAATATAAAATGGCGTAAATTACAAAAATTGTGTTGTCTTTAAATAAACCGCTTTAAGAATTCGTCTGCTTAATTTCAAATCAACTAAAATGGTAAATTGATTTTGAGTTTATTTTAAAAAACTGACAATTGAAAATTAAGGTCGTTTTAGCTTTTATATGATGTGTGGATTATTCACTATTCATGTATTTGAATATCCTAAAGCTGTCTCGGTTTAAGCAGAGCCAAGCTTCAGCATTACCTTAACGGGATTTGTTATAACCAGAGAGGAGGTTTGAAATATCTATTTTTACAGTTCCAAGGTGTTTTGTAATGCTTTTTTGTTCAACTCTCGGCTTTGGCAAAGGGACACTTTGTTAACTTGGTATTGTGCCTTCACCGGGTGGCCTGGCCTCTGGGCTATTCCAGTAGCCTTAGAATATATATTCAACGTACAGCAGTGGTTGGAGCTAGTGTCATGGCCTAAAGGCCAGCAAACGCACAATGGCTATGACACAAAGTGGCCCTTTACCAAAGTCGATGGTTAAGCAACGAACAGGTTAAAGTTTAATCAGATTTGAATTGTCGTCTCGATGAGAAGGTTTGATTGATTAGCACGACTTAATGTGAAATGCGTTTAAAGCATTTTCTTAGTCCACATCGTGATACATTAAGTGCAATAAAGGCATCTCGTGCATCACACTCACTTCCTATATGAATTTGGAAAACATGAAATAACACACCTTTTTGCCTGCTTAAACTAAAAAACAACTATTTTTTGCTTTAAAATCTTTACGTCTTTATAGCTTTGACAATTGTGGTAAGCCCTAGGTTGGCCCAGGGTTGTTTTTCTACCAATTTTTTTGAAAGCAAGTCATTTAGGTCGTCAAATTTAGTCTAATTTCTCAAGATAAGTATCTTTCAAAATAAAGGCTGACTTGTAGAAACGTAATTTATCCATCGGCATGAGAAGCGATTTCAAACCATTGTTGTGGTAAATGCCTGAAGAGTGAATAGCATTAATGAGGGAGGTAAATTTTGCTGCCTAAGTGATATTGATAAAATTTATTTAAATGCAAATTCAAATTCGGAAGCTCAAACACCCACTCCTTGTATACGTGGATTTCAGTGCCCTAACCAAGATCATTGTTGTTAGTTTTTAAATTAGAGGCAGCATAGTTCCACTACTCCGTAAGCGTGGTTAAGGTAGATAAATCGGTAAAAATTATAGTATTGCGAAAGCGTTTATTTTAAACCTATTCGTGATGCCAAATAGTCATTAAAATAGATAATAACGTACAAATATAGCCTTTGTCCCCTGTCAAAAATTGCTACTAACAGTCCGCGCTATTAGAAGGGAAATTTTTGATGAGGATTGTAGGTGCACTGCTTGAGCCAGCCATAGATACTTAAAACACCTTCAAAAGTAGAACAAATTATAGTCATTTAATTGTTTCGGGGCGAAGATAATGTGCACAAATTTTCCTGTCTGATTCACACCTCAGTCTCCCACTCTCAAATTCACCCTTTCTGCCAAATCATCACTACACTGAGTCATGACTTTTGGAGGCTAAATATCACCACCTTCTACACCATTTCCTAGGCATTGTTACCATGGCGGTAGACAAGTGTTTTGGAATCGCGCACTAACGACGCCAGCTGACGAGTCACGGGCACGGACTCAGGCCATTTGTCTCCCGCGCCATCATTGCCTTGCGGTTTCTTCGCAAAGTCACTCCGACAGCTGTTTTTATTTCAGCTTTAAACGGATTCGTCGGTTGTTGGGATTTCGCATATTTCTGCGAGTCTCGGTCTGTTTATTCTACCTTCACTTCCAGTTCGGCAGAGTGATAGATGGTAGCGGCAGCTGTTTAGTTCCCCTTTATCTCTAGTATCGTCACTGCATGCATCGACACAGGTGAACTTCTGGTTGCAGTAGCTCACCTCAGGGGGATTTCACAATTGAGTAAATCCCATATGTGCTTACTATTACTCTAGTTTGATATACCTTTTGAAAGGCATAGATGATATGTCTTTCTAAGCGGTGCCTTGATTAGGGTCTTATAATAAACTTCGTTAGACCACGACTTATAGAGTCAGCTTATAATATGTAGCCTTCATCTATTTTATTGTCAAGGTGTATATAACACCTACAGGTGGCTCTCTGTCTGTTATGAACCACAGTTCCAAAAACCTAAGTCAGTCAATCCATTAACAGGACCACATTTTATTGAGTCCGATGCCTGGGTTAGAAACTTATGCGGCTTAGTTGAGTATCGTAAGTTCAAGCACTTGCCACTGCAGTTCGAAGAACGTGTAAACAACAGAGGTGCTTTCAATCAACATGTCGACAGGTGTCTATTGGTAGGCATTTTTAGAACATTGCAGCACTTTATTACGGTAACTTCTATGCCACTAGTCTGTTTCCAAAAGCAGTAGTATGCCCTAGGTGAGAATTAAAATTTCTTTGTAGGCTAAAAAACCTTGACCCTTTTATACTTAAAAAAGGCCAAATTACGACTACATAAGACCATAATTTGGGCTGTGTCGATCAACATGAGATTGAATGTTAATAATCTAATGTCATTTAAATTGACGTCAGGTTGTATAAACGCACACAAAGCCCAGCTAATTACCTTGTCATCAAGATCAAAAGCTCTACAATGGAAATGTTTACATTCAGAATACAGACGAGTGAAACCATTTTCTTAGCCTCTTAACTCTTTGCACCATCAACATATTAAAATTTTAGTGGATCCAAGAATTGCGGCATACTTGGAAGTTAACAACGCTAAAACCACATCGAGAATGGCTTCCATAAACTCGATTATTGTTAAAATCGTATGTGCCTTTGAGTGATATAGCAATTTTACATCCTGAGTTTTGTGTCAGCGACAGAATCCTGGCTTAAGGACAGAATTATAACACCACCGAGAGTTAGTTAAAGGCCACATACCATACATGGCATCCAGAAGTGTGTTTTTAACTCAAGCAGATGGTAAAGCATCATTACGGACAGCCAGAGGCTTGCTCAATGAAGATGTCCATTACCCACACAAAGGAATATTGGCTTCCCTCACTAATCGTTGAAGCTGTGCCACTGGCTGAACACAGTTGCTGAATGTATTCACGTTTATGTGGAACATAAAACAGCGGATTATGGTAGTGATTGGTGCACAATAATGTTGGCAACAATGAAGGAAAAGCAGAAGAAGGACGGTCTATGATGGAACGCTTCCTTCAGTACTTCTTACTCGAAAGTGTTGCGTGAGTCAGAGAGCGGAGAGGTAAACGCCCCTCGTTCACACATTGTTTTGTGTGACTAGGCCACCTAATTAATAGACGTGTTTATTATCTCAAGACTACGAAAATAGCAGTCCTGGTTGCCTGTCCTTTAACTGTCTTAACCTTCAGGCTGGCAAATTTGTGGATCCTTTTTGCTAAGGTGCGTAGGTGGGGCTGGCACTTGCCCCTTACTTCCCACACATCCACAAACAACTTAATAGGCACTCCAGTAAATTAGTTACTTTTATAAGTTCCATTCGAAGTTTTCTAATTTGAAACAAATCTTTCATTAACGGAGTTCTATTTGCGATTATTAAAGTAGGAAAATAGGGCGGAAATTCAAGGGGTTGCGTTTGTTAAGGGATCAATGGGGTAGTATGTCAAGAGAGTCCAAAGGAAAATGCACTTTTTCCTATAAGTCATGATTAAAGAATTAAAATGGTTAGTTTCCGAGACCCGACTTCTTTGCCGACTTTTTCACTTGATTTCTCTAATGCTACGAATTCGAAAAGTAAAAAAGGTACAAAGAGTGGAAGTCGGTTGATTTCGATCGAAAGTATGCGTGAAAAGAAATAATTGTGATTTAAAGGTGCAACTGGTCTTGGCCCTAAGGAACTGTGATCCAATTGTTGGTGTCATTGCAAATATAGGTATCTTTAAATACTTCCAAAAACTTTTTTAACCACTTAGTTTGGGCTTGGCCAAAGAACCTAGTAATGCATGGCTATATAGACTACCTTTTGATCGTTTTAAGTAGTGACTCTCAAACGTGCCTCAGGTTATACATTTTTGATTTGGTGAACTTAATCCATTTTCTACAAAATATCTGGTGCTAAAATCATTAGTTTTTGAATTGTATTTTCCTTTGGCCGTCTTGTTGACTAACTGATAAAGTTTAAATATTTACAACCTTTGTATGTCTACTAACATTTTTAAGTAAAAGCTTTGAAATCAGTTAGTGGACAAATACATACTGCGAGAACAGTTTGTCGGCCATTCAAAATCAAGTATATGAAATCTTCCCGTGTCAGTCGATGATTCTATCAGTTTTTTGCCTGGTCCTTTAGTATCTTGTTTATGTAGGTCAAAATCTGCATGACGAAACGTCTTTGCAGTTCCTCTCCCTCTCTTAACTGGGGAAGAAACGGGTTTAACAGTAAATCATAGCAGTGAGTGTCGCATTTTTACATTCACTTGTTGTTGATACACCTATGGACTACCATGGTCCTAACCAGAATGCTAAAGATGTATTAGAAAAACTTTATCATAGTAATTTTGGATAGAGTCTCGAATGAATATTAGAAAGACGGTATTACAAAGATTGAGAATCATTTGAAAACTAAGTATTTATAGCTTGATCTATGAATGGGCAAGAAAGGTATACGATAAATTTGGGGATCAATTTTAGCCTCTATTTCAAATGTGTGTTCTCATTTGTTGTTGAAATGCCAAGACAAAGTAAGATGGTTATTTAAAATTCATAATGGTTTATTTTGAGATTTGGAGAGCGGAAGACAAGACAATAAAAAGCACATGCTGCTGAATGATGATACAGTATTTACTTTACATCCAAACCTCTCAGGTAATTTAATTTGATGAATTAAAATACAAATGATACTGAGCTGGACTGATGGGTTTCGCGACAACCACACGTGTCTGGAAGTCACTTCTTCTCGTTAGAGATATTGCCTACAAAGTTGATTTCACTGATCGCAACTATAGTGTGCTTGGCTTCGACGATCATGTGGCTCAGTACCGCCTCATTAACAAATTAATTAATCTACGGCATTTTTTCGTGTCCAGTATGTTAGTATGATCTGTCAGTGCCGTGGATCCAAGGACAGACCCATGTACGATTGCCAATAATTTCAGGATAACTCGAAATTGCTTGCAATTTTGCTGCAATAGAATGTTTGAACAAAACCGCTCCAGCAAGAAATTATTGCACTGAGAGTGATTAACAATTGGAACCTTTTAGGGCTTTAAAATATGCTTGTCCTGGTGGATATTTTTCATCCCTTCAAATGCTGGTCTAAAATTATTGCAAATTAGCTCCCTTAATCCTCGGAATTTCCCCATTTGAATTCAACTATTTTTTGAGCTAGTCTATCAAAATAATAAAAGCTGAATACCTTCGAACATTAAAAACTATTGTGTCAATCCAAGGTAAGTATGTTTGGTGAGAAACGGAGCTTACATCTGTCAACACTCAAGATATCGGACCGTCAAAGTGGACACATCAGAGTAAATATCTTCCTGAGAACATTTTCTTAATACATAAAAAGAAGTGAAGGAATTTTTGAGAAAATCTAATTTACAAAACGAAAAGTATACCAAATCAGTTGTCTTATTTGGTAAAATTGAATTGCCTAATTGTCACCTGAGCACCAATAGCACAAAAGAGATGGTTTTTCCCAAGAAAACAAAAAATATCCTAGAATTTCTAAGATTTTGCATTTGTATAATGCATATGTCCGAATAAATTAACTTTATGTACATTATAAATAGAAGAGTGGCGACTCGAGTTCAATTGTAAAGTAGAGGAATAGTTTTGATTTGGGGCTTTTCCGTTTTTGCTCCTTTGTTTACGCAGAACAATGTGTACCATGCTTCAAAATGTTTTCTTTTATGTTTTGCTCTTCTCTTATAATCGTACTTATAAGCGATACTAAGGATCTTTGCCAGTGAGGTAGACGAATCAGCTCAGAAGGCTGGATAGTTCCGCATTTAAAACATGGGTACCACAACTGAAAGATATGAGAGAGCGGGCAGATATGAGTGATTGCTGGCCAAAATGGTGTATCGTACGTCTTTGCCTCGATCCCTCATAGGAACCACTTGATTACTCCCTAGTTGAGCACTGCGGATTCTTCATTGCCCAAAAATCAGGATAAAATGATTAGGTACTAGGAGGAGGTGTGACGTATCACGGCATCAGTACTAGTGCTAACATCACCATCCCGTGTCGGAAATGCAAATTTGTTGGTTTTGATCTGATAGCAACCTAGGTGGTGGTGTTGATGGCAATTTTTATGGCGTGTACAGTCAGTCGAATAAAATGCGTCAAATCCGGATTCGTGCAAATTTGCTAGAAGAATTGTGTATCACCATTAATGAATAATCCACTTCTCGAATGTTATGGTCATATTAAGAGAATTTAAATTTGAGTGTGCTTGTGTTTCCGACACCAACTTTTAGTATTTCAGGCTTTTCTTAGCGTTTGTAATCAACCGAATACAACCTGGCATAAAAAGCAAAAATAGCAACAAAGGACTGTTCCACTTTTCAAAATATCGTTACCAACAAATTCCTTGCAAGTAACATCAACTGTTTTTTGCCAGGTTACTACGACAAACACAAAGCACTGATGATGCTGAAGGGATGACAGTTTTGGAAGAAGTACTTATTCGATCGCAAGAAAATGGTGTGCAACAAAGAGAGTAACAGGAGTTTCCAAAGTGATTTCATTTTATAACTATATTTAACGCCAAATGTGAAAAAATTTGCTATCGTTTGCCATGACAGTGGAACAATCAGTGCCATTCTTAGAGCGGCTTTTGGAAGTGTAGGTAAATAAATAAAAATTACTTCGCTGCTTCCCACTTTCATACAGCCTCCTCCTTGCCTCAATGCATCATTCTCTTGATAGCATCATCGTCAACGCTAGAATTAAATACAAGCCTACCGCTGATATTTTCCCTTATCCCCTCTATCCTTGACACGCGACACAGCAGATTTGGCATTCCTACAGACCAACCCCTTTCTCTATTGTCCTTCACTTCCCCCCAACCCAGCGCAAGCAAAGCAATGTATTGCAGTGCAATACTGATGACAAATCCTACTTTTTAAACTTTTCATGTAAGCTTTGTTCTCCTCAAAGAAAAAGGGGCTCAGTTTTGAGATTTTTGTTCACCATGAATAAGAATTTGCCTGTTCGTGCTTCAGCGTATTTGGTTTTGGAAGAGAGGGGAAGATGAAAATAAGAACAGTTGGAATTGCTTTCTTCCTCTGCGCGGCCATTCATTTTGTGTACAATATTCTTAATAGACTGCCAGAAAGGTAATCGTCTACCTATTTAAATTTAGCAAATTTACTGTCAAGCTGTTTAACAATTGTAGTCCAATACAGGGTTGATTTGCCACACCTTCTTGGTTGCATGGTGGTCGGTTCAACTAATTTCGCGATTCCGTCGACACCATCTCCCAAATAAGAGTGATGAAATTCATATGCCCATAAATTTTGACTACTTTTACTCCCATAGTGTCTCACACAGTATAAAATGTTCTCTTCCAATCAACTCTTCCGATCAAAAGACTTAAGGCCTGAAGCCATTTACAGAAATGACAAGGTATAGACGCTGTTGGCCCTGTCGGTGAACCTTCAAACATTCAACGTCGATACCAACTTCAAAAAATGACTAAAAGAGCTCCAAAATCGCTCTAGAACAGAAGTCACGAGTGAATGTTCGCACACCGCTCAAATCTGTTCTCGGCTACCCTGAAAGTCGAATAACCCAGGAAATAGACTTCGAGGAATGCTGCGTAAAGCCAGTGAAGCTCACGACCTAGCCAGAGAGGTAAGAGTCAGTTTAAAACCAAGAGGTGGTGGAATACGATGGGGATAATGCCAGGATTCTAAAACAAGTACCAAAGCCTGCCTTCTAGTACTTACTATCGGCATAGGTCGACTAATTCAGGTACGGAATTCGTCCTCACACCACGATCGAAAATTCAAGAGGCACAGAATTACGGGTTTCGTTAAACTGGCTGCCTTATAACCTAAAAAAAGCATTTATTGCAATAACTCTAAAATGATATTTATGCATTCCACGACTTTGGAAGTGGATTAATTGTACGCAATATCCTTCGTGCATTCAATATATTTAAGTGTTTTTAAAGCGCTCCTTTTCTTCCTAGTACTGCTAATTACTTGAAATAAACGGTCAAAAGGTTTACAATAGTTCAACTGCATTTATTGACTTAAATCTATGTTAAGCTGTGGCAGATTCTACTGATATGTTAAATTTGGTAACTGTATCATTGGTTCGGCAGAATCATCGAATTCTCAAAGGATCAAGGGGTAAGGATTGCTATCTTCGAGACAGGTAAAGGTAAAAACAGGGCTAAAGTCGCGTTATGCGTCAGACTCGCACCATTAGAAATCTGGCTTTTGTCTACACTTAATTCCTTCCTGTCTTAAACTGATTGTCGGATAGTGACGAAGCATGACGAGAAAATTGAACATTTCATTTCCACCGACATTACGAAATGGCAACTTTAAGTCAAGATATCTAAGAGACAATGCAAGAATCCGACTTCTTGAGATAGTTTTTGATAATGGACATGCTAGAAATGCCTTTGACTTCATAAAAAGTCCCTGTTTGACTTTCTAGAAGCTCCTACTTTCGTGGCTATTTCCGCCATTATCGAAGCGACCAACGCAAGTCCAACCCCTCCTGATTGGCTGAGTTAAATTTTAGACATTTTAAATGTACCAGCATTTACTTTAAGGTCAAGGTCAATAGAGTAGTATATAAGTGACTAAGATGTCTCAATGACGTAGCCTCAGTCTTCGGCAGGCCGTATGGCGTTTCCCCGTGCTAACGCAAACAAGTCAGTAAATAAAGATCGACATTGGTTATAACAAAATAACAGAAAGTTATGGTATAGTTCTGAAGAAGCATTACAATATACCTCCCAAAATGTGTTTGCATTGGTCCGTGTGTGCATTTGTCCTCCTCCAGATGGACCAGTTAAATTCTATTAATTCTGCATCCATGGAATAGAGTTCACAAACAACCTGGTGCATCCGAATAATAGGGGACGGTGAAGTAAAATGAAATCCATCGAAAAATTATTGTGGTACTTGGCAAAACCGAAGTTTGCCGAAAGTTACGTGTGGGTGCAAACCTTGGTGGAAAATTGTAAATCTCCGAAAATCACTGAATACACACCAGATTGACAGGCCTAAAACAAAAATACTATTATTAATTGATTATCAGCTAAATCAAGTGAAAGGTCTTTACTGATTTTAAGATATCTTGAAAAGCGGGAGAAAATAAAAGATTCCTCCCTTTAAGAGCATGATTCTGAATCAAATGAAAGCACGTCTTAGCTTGGAAACCCATTATTTTCACATTATTTTTCACCTATCTGTATCATAGCACAAAAAATGCCAATTATGACATTTCTACTACCTTTAAGTGAGGTCTCTATTCTCGAGTCTTCCAAATGAACGTAAGTATTAACTAAAATATTCATGCATACTTCGACTACTCAGTTGATCATTCGCTACCAGAATATAAGAGGAAAGTGAACCATCACAGTCCGAATGTTTTATTGTTTCGGTATGACAACAATTGTCATAAATTTTTTCTACCAAATCAGCTGCAGTTCAAAAACATTACAGTTCAGCTGCACTAAGACCAAGAATATCCTGCAGCTCTATTGCCGTTTTAACTGCAACCCTTCTGTTTGCGGTGCAAAGTATAGCGATCATTTACCATGTCCTAATGAACAGGACATGTGACGTGTTTGTAATGTCAGACTTAGGTAAGGAAACCTTGGCGTCACATATGTGTGACGCTGGAGGCAAACGTGTTAATTAAGCTATGTATTCTAATGATTAAGCATACAACTGCCTAAATAGTACAAAACCATTTCTTGTAATGGTTATGTCCTTATCGTTCTCGAAAGTCTAAGAGATGACGACATTTTGGTCTCAACCATTCACTCAAATTGTTTGTTTGTATTCGACCACCTTTCTGTAATGCCATTATGGAAGGGAGCATACAGGTGTTTTGACGATTCTTCACCAAGGTCCTGCAAATGTATGGCTGGCACCACTTGTCAGGAGACTGCAATTTGAATGGATAAATAGGACCAAATTTTTTATTTTATCGAATAAACGGAGAATGGCTAGACGCCAGATCCAACATCTGACCACGTGGAGGAGAAGACCACTAAGTGGCTCAATGGAAATTCCAACATTCAAGTGCAAATTTGACGATCAAAGCTTGATGAAAATAAATATGGAAACCATTTGACGTGCTGGGACTGATGACTTAAATAAGGATTAAAACCTTAAGCGCTTTGTATTACCTGTAAAACGAAGATTCGTATCGAAAGTGACTTGATTTGTTGGGAATTCGGTAAGTTTATGGGCGGTATTTCCCTTAAAATGTTTGTTGAACCGGGTTTTGGGGCGAATTGAGTTATCTTGCTCGCTGTTGCAATATGATTTTATCGTTGAATATAACCGATTATACTGTAAGTCTACATATAAATGATTGGGTACTTCCGATCCTCGACTTGGCAACGATTATCTAAAATTCATTTTTGGTTCTGATTTAAAATCCATTATGAAAAGCATTTTAACACCGTCAGGAGAATTGGAAACCGATCATTTTCACATCTGTCGGCTGATCAAAAACGTTCGTTGTCTTTGCGGCACAGCCCGATGTAATGGCTTTATAACGTCTAGGCAATATAATACAAATACACCTCAATCTACGATACGGTGCTCTTTCCTGTGCCCTGTACTTCTTTTCTGCTATTTTGAATTCGCGTAAAATGGCGCTCAAGCCTAATATGCATAGCGCTTGCCTAGTTTACATGATGAAACTAGGTTCTAGAGTTGCAGAAGCTTCTTGTCAAATTCGCCATAGCGCATTAAGAAGGGGTCTGGTAACAGACATCACCGTCCAGCAGTGGCTCTTTTTTTGATCCCAGTAATAGAATGCTCCAAAACGGATGGTTAATGCTCAGAAAAGCAATTTATACTTGACTGGAATAGGGCATTACGTATAGCTTCTAGATCAACGCTCCAAAGATAAAATTCAGTTATGGTAAGTGTTGAAAGTAAGTACTTAGACCTTCATCAACTGGGAAGGAATCGTCATGATGGAGGTTGAGTGAATGGATACCTATGCCATGCATTAATAGATAACAATAATCTTTAAGACCATCGATTTGCCGTTCTTCAATTTTTCCATATGCACAATAAAAGTGCACCGTTTTTATACACTATGCTGATTGAGGGCCTGGTAGGCTGCAATGGGTAATGGTCTTTACATACTAAGGTCAGGAGAACGAGTGCATTAATAGTTGTTCCCGAACGATCTACTACCCACCTAATACTTATAAGGCACTGCTTCAAAGCCCAACTACTATACTTTGTGCGTGTATGCATGGTAGAGTGCAGACGAAGTTGCTCACCAAGAATTGGTCACCTTCTGAAGGCTGAACAATTGCATCTGCGATCTACCTACTAGGTGAAACCAGACACAACAGGGGGGCGTTCAAGTAGTACATCCGACGAAACAGCAAGGATTAGTAAATTTATTAAAATAAAGTTTCATTCTCAGTTTTGTAGGATAACGGAACAGCTTTCACTTCATGCTGTGAACCTATTCGTGAGAAGAATTACACGTTAGGATGGGAGGGAGGCAGACAACCTTGCCTTCATCCCCACCTTCTCTATCCCCTGGTGGTCTATTTAGATTGAGCATTACATTTTCTTGGTGTTAGACAGTCACATGCGAAATAAATATTTGTTAAGTGGAAGTGAGATTATAATAAAGATGGTAGGGGTGAAATTTTTGCTTCCAAAGGCAAAACTTTAGCAAAAGTTGAATTCTCAAGCTTACCTATTGTTGGGAAAGGAATATAAATTACAGTAGTGACTGGTTTAAAAACCAAAACATTTTATGTTCCCGTCTCTGTTTTCTTCATTTTTGGAATAATACATCACGATAGATTATTTGGTTTCCTTATGCATCTTACTCATTCTTAGCAATCAAAATATTGTTTCTGCAGCAATGCGTTGGAAATAAATGAAATGAAAACCTAATTGCATGAGGAGTTTACTTTTTTTAACAAAAGGGGACAATTGACTTTTCGGAAATCAAAGACTAGTGAGTTTAGCTCAACCAGCTATGGGAAAATAATTGAAGTCAATTTTGCGCACACTTTGAGAAAAAACTGCGCGATCACAAAACGTAGAAGGGAAATGAAAGAATTGGAATAAGTGGAAAGCAGCGTAATTCCTGTTGAACTTACTTTTACTGCAAAAAGTGCCTTGAGAAAGAGGGAGGGCTTAACTCGCAACAAACACGAAACGACGCGCAGCCGTGCCTGCCTCGAGTGGATGATATTTGCATGTGACGTTAGGTGTTCCCGTAAAACGAAGTGAGCAAGGTAAAATTCTAGCTGTAAATTTCAGCTAGCATTTAAAAACACATTCAAAATATCTGAGAAGCTTTACCACTGAAGTACCAGGTAGTAATTTCGAATTGAAACGAAGATAGAGGTAGAAAGAGTAGCTGGTTTACTGAGGTTTAAACGGTTAACTTTTCAAGAAGCATCGGGACGAAACTATCAAATGTAGTGAAAAAGGATGTTACGTGACACATTAAAGATCTAAATTTTTGCTTAAATCAACAACCATGAAGTCAATTCAGGCAGGTTGAACTATTGTCTGGTTAAAATTAAGTAAATCGTTAAGTTTTAAATGGTAGCGTCCTTGCTTAGCTTGGCCTTAATTTTCAATTCATTGGAGTATCTTCAAACAAGCGTAGATTCACAGAGCACTTGAGTTGTAAATATTATTGCAAGTATTGGAGTTAAAACCTGGATCTAAAAAGTCAAGAGAAATCAATACATTTCACTCAATAACTCCTAAATAAATAGTTAAATATCGGGTCTTTACCACACTAGAGCAGTTTTAAAACGTGAAGTGAAGCAGTGCCAAATGGAACAAATTGAGCATGGTTTTTTAAAATGAAAAACTTGTTTTGGTATTGAAAATGGCTCTTTATGTGTCAGTTTTACGTCTTCGTACCTATTGCTACAAAAAGGGACTAGGTCAATAAATTCAATTTCTAGGTGGATTTTTCTGAATAAATTCAAATAATTCTTTATCTCTTACGCACTTAAATGTTGAGCAAATTCAACCAAAGGATTTAAAGAAATCAAGTTTATTTTTCGCATGCTTACTTGTTTAAAGCAAAAATCTTCCTAACAAAATGCTAGATTTGCAGGTCACGCTATTACACCGTCTCTTGGAGATAGACTGGGCATAGGCCTTCTTAATACTCAAAACGTCTTAAATAATTCATGTGGCAGTCACTAGACATACAATTACGAGAAGAGAAAAACGTGGATGGTGTCGAGAGAAACAAATGAGCTCTTTAGCAAGGAAAGGGATATTTGTCAAAATCGGACTCTAAAGCTAACAATCTATTCAAAGTCGGAGCTTTTTGACACAAGCTTCAGCAGTGTGCAATACAGTAACCACAATGACTTACTGGCAGGAATAATGAGTTTGTAAGTTTTTAGTAACAATATTAGATAATTCTCTTTCACTTTTCTAGTACAATCCACCCAAGTAGTTTTGAAACCAATCTGGTGTATGTGATTTTGGTTTTGACTTCTCATTAGCCTTGGGTAAAGCCGATGACTTTGTTTGAAGCATTTTATGGTCTAAATGATCAGGTTTTTGACCCGACAGTTTTATTGCAAAGATTCTCAGATTACTTAGGACCATTAATGCTCAAATTTTAATTGAGCTCGTTAGCACGCAAAATTCGAAAACAATATGGAAAGAATCACTAAGCTAATCTTCCTTTCAGTAGTTTGGAAGGGGACGGCACAAACAGAGAATTGGAAAACTTAGTAAGATTGGGCAATAGTGTTTAGTAGCTGCAAAGGGGAACAAATGCATTGCTTTCTTCTTTTGATTTTCTCAAAGCGCAAAAGGTGTCTACTTAAAAACATGAAAAACATAGGAAATGTATGATAAATAAGATCAGTCAATAAATTGTCGTATTTTATGCAGATATTTGCCAAAAGTACTCCAAAAAGGAACAGCGCTCCCGGATGGAAATCATTTCTTTTCACAAAATTAATAATTGTTCAAGAGTAAAATCGCGTAAGGTTGTAGGGAAATGTGAATTAGATTAAGTCGAGGAAGATGCAAAAAATCAGTCATGTTAACTTGACATAAGTAGTTATAAATTAAATTAAACTTTTTAATCCATAGGACTCTAATTTCTTTTAACTTTCAAGATCCCATAAAATAGGCGTATATACGCTTCAAATTCGGCGTAGAAATACTGAGATATAGAAGCGTTCATTATCTTACACGGTATTTTCTTTTATGCGTTTAATACTCGTAGCAGTCTAGTGCAAAACCGGGCCCAGCGTTTGTTTCGATTATTTCTCGGGGGAGCGGTCATATTTCATGCAACTCTACCTAATTTATCGGACGGAGACCAGCCATTTGTTACAGGCAAAGTCAAAGACAATTGCACCCAGAGGAGATGGATTAATTAAAATCGTGTGTACATAACCGTGTGCTCAATTATTCATTCAGGAGATTCCCAACAGCCTTAAATTTTGAGACTTGCAAGCTGAAAGCCAACTGAATGTGCAATAGTTGAGATCGGGAGCCAACCAATTTTTAGAAGAGATTTCTTACTTTAGAAAAACTAAAAGCGCGTAGGTTTTCAACTGATTTTGCATTTTTTACAAAGCAAGGCAGTTCGAAGATACAGATGTAAGTGGTTGATGAATATTGTATTTTAGACGAAAAGTCAGTTCTAATGTAACACTTGACTTCTGAAATTACTTTAAATTAAAGGCAACAATTACATCTCTCCCAATTGTTTTAGGGATTCAGCTAGATATGTGAACCTTTATGCACTACATTTGACTTTATTTTCATCAACTTCGTGTCAACATTAAACTAAATTAGCGATGGCCGAGGTTTGCAATTAGCAGTTTCGAATGCCTTGCCGAAACGAGGACTCAGTATTGATGAAGCGAAATGGGATAAACGTTTTTGCATTTTTTACACACTGATGTGTTACAAAGCATTTTGTTATGCACTTGGGAAGGCCTGCATCATAGATTACCTTTCGGTTTCTCTTATACAGCAAAAGCTCTTTTAATACAACCGTAAATGAGCTTTTCAATCTCCTAAAGGGTTGTTACGAAATCTCAAACCTGCTTTTAGCTTTCTAATGTCCAGACAATTGAAATGTCAGGAAACCTCCTGTTATCTAACCATTTATCATTACACGCAAAGCTCTTTCAGAGGCCCGTTTATGATACATAGCTATAAAAATAAAATATGTAACAATATGGTTCCCTCCATACTTCACCTGCCAATTAATGTGAACAACTCTATTGCAAGCATATTTAAATATATTTACCTTACAAATGGCTTATTACTTAACTTTAGGTTACACAATAATACGGGGAAATTGGGGAGACATTAAATCTCGACAGACCTGTTATTGTTGCAGACGAGTGGCGGATGTTCATAATCGAACTAAAAGGCTTTTATTTAGCCGCATGTATAAATTTGTTTACAAATCAGATTCACAGCTCTTAGTCACTCATGCCCTTTAGTTTGTCGAGCTTTTTCTCATTATTGCGGTTATCCAGTTGGGGAGGATTGGCTTGTTTAGATGGACCAACACTAACTCTATGTGCCTAAAGTGTTCCGCCTACTCTAATTAGTTTATTCACATGCAGCCTTACGCAATTTGCCAATGTTCTCTGCATATTTTTTTAGAAAAGACTATCCAAGACTTTGTAAGTGGATACAGACCGTTTTGGAAATTATGTATGAAGGTCTGTGTGCTAGTTATGTAACTGCAAAACAGCTGCAGCCAAATAATTAAAGAAGTTGCATTTTTTTATTCTAGGTTGTGTACCTCAAGTTATGAACGCAGAATTAGCCACTGATGACGACATTTTGGCTAGTCTTGCAAACACGACGTAAAAAAGTTCTATAACAAACTAGTGAATTTGTACCTTACGACTAAGATATCTCTTCAACTAAACAAGTAAAGGAAAAAATAACGGCTCTGTGGAACCTATAGTAAAATGCTTTTTTTCAGAGACAAACATGAAGTATGAGATTACTATTTTTGAAACAAATGAATTAAAATCTTTGCATATTATGCTGAGACTACGGCAGGATGTGAATGAATTATGTCGAAAGTTGGAAACAATTGAATAAAAGAAACAATATTTGTTGGCCAATTGGAAGAGCATTCAGTGAATTTTATGCAGTAGAATCATAGGTAGCCCTTGTGTGCTGGGATGGAAGATTCATTTTTGCTGCTCCACAAGGCTACACGCACCTACACATGCACATACTGACACATACACATAGTGCTGGTTGCAGGCGCTCCCAAGCGCACGCGTCAGTGAGAGGTTAATTTGCCATCCTGGGCTCAGTGACAGCCAATCAGAGGGCATGCACACGTGTTTTGCCAGGGATTGGTCACTTTTGCAAATTGTGGAAGCGAAACCACTGCACCCATCAGTTTTTTGTGTTTTTACACACCCCAACATCCTCGGCAGTTGATACCTATGCAAATACCATGTTTCTTTGAACAAATGGTCTCCCTGTCTTTATTCGCCGTCCTTCTCTCCCTCCTCCCTACCATGTGGGTAACAGCTCAAAGGGCTAGCGTCAATGTGCAATTTCAACTAACCGAAGAATGTCCTGAAGGCACTCTAGTCGGTTGCCTGAGTGAAGATGTTAGTCTACATGCGCCTCAGTATCTAGTTAATAAGCCCAATGGAGATTCCTATCAGTTATTGACAGCCACACAGCTGTTTGAACTAGATAGCACGTCAGGAACCATTACAACCAGTGGCCGCATCGACCGCGAGGAGATTTGCCCGCCCATACAGAACAGCCATCAGGCGTCCACTGGTGAGTCTGCGGCGGCGCCCTGCTCCATAGACCTACAAGTGCTTCGGCTGGAGAGCCAGACAGCAAGTGGAGCGTATGAACCTCAGGTCATCCTTGTAAAAATTTTCATACTAGACATCAATGACAACGCCCCTACATGGCAGGAGGATTCAGTCAACATCACTATTCCAGAGCACACAGCACCAGGAGCCCGGTTCCTTTTACCACTGGCATTGGATGCCGACTGTGGCCCGGAAAATACTACTTCCAGATATTTCCTGTTTTCTTCCAACATACCTGATGGAGATTATGGAGGTAGTCATGTTCATAGTTCTGACATTAGTCGGTACTTTAAGCTGGATACCGAGGTTGTGGAACAAAAAGATCCTCAACACTTTGTTCTGGATAGATGGAATAACGGTTGGAATCTGCAGGCCTGTACAGGACCCACGTTTCGTCTTTGGCTGCAGATAATCGGTGAAGCTGATTATGAGACTCCGGGACAGCTTAGCTTGATTCAACAAAAGCAGCCTCTTTCCAAAAATGACGACAAAGTCAACGTGCCTCCGCGGACTTTTGTACTCAAACTAGCAGCTGTTGATGGCAGTCGTTTTGTACCAAAGACAGGAAGTGTCACCATTCATGTTAGTGTGAAGGACATAAATGATCATGCACCTTACTTTCTGCCCCCAGAAGACTCTTCCGTCGATGGAGTGTACGTAAAAATTAAGATGGATGGAACACTTCGACGAAATTCTGCGACAATTGAAGTTCAGGAGAACGCACCTTATGGCCAGGCATTGTACACTCCTCATGTTGTTGAGCCCGATATAAGTGATAGGGAAAGCCTGATCTTTTCCTTTGACAGTACAACAACACCAGCCGCCAAAGCTGTGTTTGGAATCCGAGAGAAAGATGGAACCATCTTCCTCAAACAATCACCGGACTACGAGACGCAGACTTTTTACATTCTTCCCATTGTTGTTAGTGATGGGAAGTATGTTGATAACCAAGAGCTGCGAGTTCAAATACTCAATCTCAATGACCACGCACCGATTATCACGATTCGACCAGTAAGAACTAAGAAACCAGAGGCTGAAATTCATAACCAACAGCACCAACAAGCGCAACGGTACAAACCCATTTACCTGGAAGTGGAAGAAGATAGACCTCCGGGTCACTTCATAGCGACTGTCCTTTTGAGTGATGAAGATCAGGTCAGCGGAACATCGGCCTTTCCTAGTGAGGGTACGGCGGCGTTCCAATGCCAGCTAAGTCATGACAGCCTTTCCCTTGAGCCACTGTTTGAGGGTTCCCAAAGCCAATTTAAACTGGTCACAAGGGTCTCCTTCGATCGGGAACAGTTGGGAGAGCTTTTTGTAGCTCTAACTTGTCATGACTCTGGACAACCTCGCCAGACCTCACGCGTGGATATCAAACTTCTAATCCTTGATAAAAATGATAATAAACCTGTATTCAAGCATCACCCTATGGTTGCTAGTGTAAAAGAAAATTCGCTCGTTGGTGTAAATGTCTACCGACTGGAAGCTTTCGATGCAGACGTCGGAAAGAACGCAGCTCTAGTTTACTCCATAAGTGGAGAAGGTGCGGACAATTTCAAAGTGGATCGGCACTCGGGGTTAGTGACAACGGCTACAACTATTGACAGAGAAATGGTCGGAAGATTCAATTTGATGGTAGTCGTTAGTGACCGCAATGGCAACGATACGGGTTCTGGTGAACCTATCAACGAGGGGACTGCAATGCTAACAGTGGAAGTGCTTGATGAAAACGACTGTGCTCCCGAATTTGACAAACCACTCTATCAATTTCTTATCGACGAAAACGCAAAGATAAATACCCCGATTGGAGAGGTCAAGGCACGCGATAATGATGCCACAGCAGAAAATAATAGGGTTCGTTACCATATTTCAAGCTTTGTGCAGTGATTAGTAGCTGCTATGCTAAGTTAGATAGAAGGCACCATGCCAAGCTTCACTAATCGAACATGGAATGAAATAAACGGAAAGTCTACTAAAATATTCTTACTGATCGTCGATTTCGTAGGAAATTCTTATCCAAGTCAAATTATTTTTTTACTATGAGAATCGGCATTACTTGAATCACTTAATTTCATCTGGAACTGTCAAATCATGAAGTGAGCCAGATCTTTGAAACCAAAGTGTTTAAGATGAACAGCATATTTTAACGTATACATCACCTTTCTCGTACGCCTCTAATATTCAACCCCAGTTTTCGCACAATTTCAGATACAACACACGAAGTTTTTTTGAAAATAGCTTTTTCTAAATTTGGGGAGGATATAATCTATTTTGGTCATGTATGTTCGTCTACTGACGTGTTAGTGATATTTCTAATAACAAAGTACGTTCTAAAAGCACTGCCCTAAAGTTAACTCAGGTATATTACATAAATAAAGTTTTGGCTGCTTCCTTAGTTTGAAACTTTGCATCCGCTTTGGGAAGAGTCAAACCTATAAACTCTTAAGTATCGATTCTTGACCAGGGTAATTGAGAGTCTGGGTTGGGAAGTGGGCCGAACGGATTTATAATTGTTGCGATGCGATCGTGTGAGCTAGCCACACACACATCTTCTACGGAAACTCTCACACAAAAGAAATTAACTCCCTCTTCTCCGCTCGACTGCTCTAACGCTCTTGGCCAACCTGCCTAGCCTTTCTGCCCGTCCACATGACTGGAAAATTTAGGACACATGTTTTCAGTTAAAGCCCCCTTGTGTTGGTGAGTATCAGTAAGATTACGATTCAAAAAGTAACCAAGTGGACAAATCTGAAGCAAAACAGCCACAAAGATTCCAAATGATATTAGCACTACAATGCTAATTCAGTAGAAGAGCTAACTTGTAAACATTTAATTAGACTAACATTTGCTAGACATTGACACAAATTTGACCGTGGGCAGATGAAAGTCGTGGTTTGCCATTTCCAATTAAAAGTTATCAAAATATTCCTTCACAGGAACTCGAAAATACTCTATCGTACCTACAATTTAATTATTTTCTCGAATTTCAAATAGGTAAAAAGACATTGCCACCTAATTTCAACATAAAATATTTTGCTCCACCATCCTATCAAACAAAACCAGGTACCGTGAGAGGAATCATTTGATGGCTATTTAAAGAAAAGAATCGAGCAATTAGCTCCATGAGGTATTACACACGAAGAGCAACGAAGTGGCAAACCCAAATTCGAAGGCATCGTCACAATGTAAACTTTATTTTTTAGAACGGATATTTTATAGTCCTATCTAGTGATTAAATGCAAAAATTCCAGAGTTAAATTAAAATTACCCTCCACTTGCACTATTTATTATACTTTGAAGCAAAGACATTTTTATAAATTTTTTCATCAGTTCTTATGCAGATCCATTTTCAGCAATTTTTAAACTGAAAAAAACCAATTACTCACTAAATAAATTCACAATTTGGAGTTTCCTATTTACTTGTAAACAGTACTAGGATTTGTACGCCGCTACAAATTCGTATCATATTTTAGCCTATTTAAGATGTGATTTGAATGGAGACGCCTTTCGAGGGACGATGGAAAGAACTGAAATCCATTAAAGAGGCTACAGTTTTTTACGCTGACGAGTGCAAATGTCCACAAAAGGAAGCGAGTTTTATCCTAAAGTCAAATGAAAAAAACACCTTGTGGACTAGCGTCTGGTTGCACTGTATGCGAGGCCTTTGCTGCATAAAGACTGAAAACAAAAAATTGCATTCTTGGTGTTTTCCTAATGGTGTGACTGAGGTCGTTCAATGGCTATAGAATGGATATTTATTGAGGGCACTCCCAGGTTTTCTAATCTATCATCAACTGACTCATTTCCATGCGTTTGGGGAAGGATCCACTGCTTATCTGTTTCGTTTCTGCCTGAGATGTAGCTTCTAGTACCGTTTTATAATTAAAATTGTGATAATTTGTATCAGAGCTCATTGACTTTGAGGCACTAACTGTCAGGTGTATCCAAGAGCATGTAATCATTTCAATTATTATTACCAGTGATGCTCCATCGGCGAAACGGAAAACAGTGCATACTTGTTCACTGTGAAGGAACGAATTAAATTAACCTGTGGAGTTCTTGTGACCATAGGCCATCCACCCAACTTCCTGTTTGCTTTCCGCTTCATGCATATACACTAACTGTGGAGGACATTTGAAATGCACGCATATTCATAATTTAAAGTTCGATTTTAAAGTTTAGAAAACTAAATAGATGGACATGATTACATAGGCTTCGTTTAGGGGAGAATTAGGCATTGCATGGAATAGCATCAAAGAATTGCCTTATTCAGAATAGACGATAAGGGCGGAAAATTAGGTTAATAAGTTGGTTTCCGAACTGGAATTAAAATCGTTTTCATTGCCTGCAAAAGAAATCTCCTCCTTTCGAGTGGTGACTTGCACTCTGTCAAAAGGAATTATTTTAACTCAAAACTTTATTACATACCCACAAATAACATAAATTAGACTAAATAATACGCCTTGCCATTTGTGTTCAGCGTCATGATTCACAATATTACTTTACTTGTAGCTCTCTTGATTAGGGATCACTTACTGCATAAGAACAGTGTCAACATAATTCCAGACCCCTAATATCTTTTCGCAATAATATGTAGTTCATGTGTCAATTTCCGCAATGATGTGTTTAGTCTAATTACCTAAAACTAATATTTCTTGCATGCATGTTGCTTCCGTATTTACGACCAGCATCGCATTATTCAACACACAGGAAGCCGCCTTTGAGGGCTTTACACATTGGTTTGCCCCTAAGGGACTACATTTTTAAACCAGACTGGGTTTTCCCACCAGATAACACAGCAACCATAAATATTTGATCAAGTTATGTCGGAATTCGTAACGGACTAACTCTTTATATATCTCATAACTAAGTAACTTCAAAAATACTTGATTTACAATATCAATATTTCTTTAACGGAGAAAGGAATTTTTAAAAAACAAGAGGTTTTCCCAGAGCATGCCTGCTGTTATTTCGTCCAGCCAGACGGTAAATTAAAATGCGAATGCCAGCTTTTTTATCATGCCGTGGAAAAGGAGACCAAAAATACAGAAGCTCATTAATTTTAACGCGGCTTTCGCGGGGAATATCATGTCAGCCTTTTCATACAAAAAAGGAAATTATTACCAAGACCTTACCACTGAGTGAAGAACTCCGTAAAATTATGTTGGGTGAGCGACAAGTATTAATCACTGTCACAGTGCAAGTGCTGTAGATGCGGTGGTTTGTCTTATAAGTATCACAAAATATTGCTTTCATATTTAGGCAGAGTAAATGAAGCTTGACTATGAGAGATATTATACTAAGGATGATTCTGAGAAACTACATTAATGCCACAGAATTTTTCCTTACCCACTACATGACAGCTAAAACTGGTAGTCGTTTAAATTTAGCTTAACCTCCTGTATGCAACTGTTTGTTTCTTCTTTAGTCAGTTTACTTGATTAAAGTGATTTGATTCATTTAAAATAATTATTTTAGCTGTACTTGTAATTCAGAAGGTTGGTGAGTGTTTTCCTCTTCATAATGTACTTTAGATATTAAATATCGGCTTAACGCTTCTCAGGCATTTAAAAAGTCGGTGCATTTGCATTATCTGCGCATCCGAAATGGAATAATGCCAAACATGCAAATCGTGACATAATGGGCGACCGTAATTAATTTTTGATTGCAATGGGAGAAAGGCTTTGCAATGTTAAGTACTAAATACATACCATCACATTCTAAGCAAAGAATTATAATTCAGAAACTATCCAGATAATCCTGTGAAGCTTGCCGTCTTCGTTTTGATAGGTCCTTCCTTGTGACTAAAAGAATGAAATTTAGAAGGAAATATGCTAATTTATGGTTTCTTCGACGTAAATCAGATTGACTTAGACCATTTACAATGCTTTCACTTATTAGACTGCTATTAATTAACCACATGCCCGTTTTATTTCCCCAAAGGTGTCTATGAAGAAAATTATTTTTGCCTGCAAATTACCACCAAGAGATGGCTTACCAAAGATAGAGTCGGGAACGATTCCTGCTTGACAAAGATCGCGCGTTTCAGCATGTGGTAGTTTTAGAAGAGTTTATTCAAAAAGAACTTGTAAGCCTTTTTAAGCTAATAGAAACACTTGTAAACACAAATATAAGTCGAATATGTAGCGCAAAAAGTTACTTCCTCCTAAATCTGAGATTGAAATAATCTCCAAATCACATCTTTTTATCACAATCTACAATTTCATTCGCGTGATCTATTTCGTTTATGTCAAGACAACCAGCCCCACCAAATCACCATCCTTCTCTTCAATTCAAACAATGCGAACGAAAGTGTCACTTCTAGACGGTGATAAATGAAAGCATTTCGTGAAATGCCTTGACCGACTTCGATCTAGAGTTTGGTTTCCGAGCTTGCAATGACATAGACATTTCTATTTGTCAAATAATCAAGTAAGTGTTTTGATTTTGTGATCACTGACCATTTAAGCTAAGGTAAAATTGTCCACTTCTCAGTTTTATATTTCAAGCCCTTTTGACAGCAGTAAACATCATTCATTATGCTCAACATGTCTATCAAGACCTCATTATTTTCTGTCTCGTATCGCAGCATGCGATCCATCATACTCCCAATATCCTATTTTCAATAATAACTGAGGTGTTCAGTAAGCATTTACAAAGCAGCACAATACTACTATGCATAAATTAGTTTACCAGAGGGCTGGTAATGCTTTGAATAGCGATTTAGGTAAGTGTGAAAAGGATTTCAGTGTTTACGTATAGAGGGTGATCAAAATGAAGATTAATGATGTTCATACATTCATTCCGAAGGAAAACAAGTTCACTTAATTTTCGTGGGTTAAAGTGGTACAATTCTGCAAGTAAGGAATTTGTCGATGTAACATTTTCGTTTTGGCGTTATAAAATTTCAAGTGCCTCGCACTAATTTAATGCAATCGTATAGACAAATTGTGTGGCGCCAAAATTTCAGGGCCATTTATTAATCAACTATTATTCTAGAAACAACTTTTTGAATTTTCTATATTGGAATTAATTTAGCCTATCACTTGAGTAGCTACTCATACACCCCTCCAGCCGAAGCATTTTTAAATTGTAGGAACGCAATATTTCCTTATGCTACTATGGTGATTCATGATTCCATGTTTTACTTAAAAAGGAGTTTATTCATAAACTAATTATAAGTTTGTCATTAATGAATTACAGCGTAAAACAATGCAAAACTCAGATTAGTTAATTCAATGCATCTCAGTCACTTTTATTGAAGCCTTCCATATTTCTAGTTCTAGGTTTGTTTGACCAAAAAATAGATATATTAGTCGCACATTTCCGCATGACACCTGATAATACTGGTTTAGGTGCTTAATGCACAGATCAAAGTACTGCGATACATGGATGACCTCTGGTTTGCGCACGCAATGGACTATGGTGCACTTTGTCCAATCAGCAGTACTCAGAAGGACTTGTTACATTTTTGAATGGTTAGTGGACTAATGGCATTTAAATTACCTTCTTTTACCTAATGATAACACGGATTAGTACCTTGGAATTTGATCTCTTCTTTTCCGCAATATCACGGAAAGTATGTTTTGCCATGAATCTAAGACATTAAATTAGTCGAATTGCCAGGTGAACTCTATTGGGAGTCACTATTGAAGGATAGCATAACTGCGCAGTTAGTCGGTCCTCCTCCGGCCAGTCGAATAGGGCGGAAGCGACACAAATATGCGCGGTAGAACACAAAATCCAGTGGAAATAGTTTAAAGATAACACTACCTGCAGGACCGTTTGTCAAAAGCATCTCTCATCGATCAAGGTGAAAGAAATCTGTCTCCCGTGTCAAACCATTCTTACAAAAACTTTAATCTTAGGTATTAATTGACCATTAGATGAAGTTCATTTTGTGTTACCACATTTCATTTAAAACACCTTATTCTTCACAAAATGTATTTTACACCCTGCTTTCAAAATAGTAAGAATGTGCTTTCACAGCGAGTATTCAAGATTAGAGAGTTTTGCAATGTTTTATACGAACATGCAGATGGTTACCTCTTGACCTTATGACTTCCTTTGGGAAAATTTCAACCATGAACCTTCGGATTGAGTGGTTATTCTCACGATTTCCCTTTCCTTGTAGATGTCCTTTTTTTCCTTCCCTACTCTGCATTTAAAAAGTAATTCACTTTTGTGTTAATTGCCCAACTACTTCCGGTCCTTCTCCACTACTGCGAACATTTTTAGCCTGCTGGGATTATGTGATTAAGAAGCAGTTTGTGCAATTGTAATTCAAACACAAAGTGAGTCACGGAGACCTTTAAACAGACAAATGATTTATTATGACTACACATCATTTCCACATCTAGGAACACCAAGTGCCCACTTATGTTGATGCTCGAATAGTCACCACGTTGCCTCCGCTTGTACAGCACGGTACTTTAGACTTTCCCAGCAAGGCTGTACGATAGCAGTCTGGACATTATTCTGCATCGTCGCGATTGCTTCTGATTAGAAGTGCACGTTACTTAAGTATATAATTAGCTTATAAAACGATCTACCGAAATAGTTTTCTTTCCACCTTCATTCTGCACCAGGACGCACTAAGACTCACCATATTTTACTGCAATTTTACTAAAGTTCTCACAAAAAACAAGTATATCTGTGCCCATCACTAAATCATAAATAATTGAAACCGTATATTTGTTAATTTAATCTATATTATGGAATGCGGTACACCGTTTTATCAAATGATTGTGCTCTATAATATCAAAACAATAGCGATTTAGAATTATTACTCTTTAGAAAGTATTTATGTAAGAGTTTGAAATAATTTATATTAAACAACTTTCTTGATCAGTACAATCAAGATTCAATTAACCTAATTAATGAAACACAAACGTATGAGACTCACTGACTTATGACTTAATGGGAAGATAACATGTATTTTACCATCATGTTGAGGAGGAAGTCTCAAAAGATAGCAACTTGTTCCTTTTGATCATCGAAGTGTTGATATTTCATGTTTTTGTACAAGTCAACACAGAGCAAATTACTGAAATTTTCTTCTATTGTCAGATACGCTACTCTATAAAGGATGAAATTATGAACCCGGCGAACCAGGACTTTCGAGTAACAGCTGACGGGCGGGTGTTAGTCGGGAGAGAAACGCTTGACAGAGAAACGACAAGCATGTACCTCTTCACGGTTGTTGCTGTTGATTCTGGAAAACCCTCTCTGTCAGCTACCGCACAGGTCGGTGGAACTATTTGTATCGATATCTTGAGGCTTCCCTTTTTTGGCCTTATGAACACAGACACGTATTAATCAGGTTCCGTAATCCGTTTGATGCTTTGTTGTTAAGGGCTAATAAACTGTTAAACAAGCATTTAGACGTCAATTCTTCATTATATTATGCACATTAGTAAACGTTAAAAGTTCAAGAACTGTAAAGTGCATATCGAGGACAAAATATGTGAGACAATAAAAGACGCTCAAGTGCCATTAATTACCGGGATTTACATGTTCTTATGACCTCTTAACAAAAATGCCAAAACTTAAGCTAAGTAATAATTTTACAAGGCTTCATGAGTTGCCAAGGCAAAATTTTTAGAGTTGACGCCCAGATTCCAGGCTTGGCATTGTGCAGATAAAAACTTATACCCTTATGTACCTAATCATTTTGCAAGTAGAGCTAAGCATTAGCTTAGTGAAAAACCTTGGAATTCAGTATGCTTAATGTTTACTTGAGCGTTGGGAAAATCTCTTCTTTAAAGCTATGTTTACAAAAAATACGGAAGCAACCGACTACCGTTCCAGGATGCTTCCATGAAGTATAGGTTTTATGCACTTATCCTTAGTCGGGATGATATTTATTTGAAACATTTCCTGTTCTTAAGATGTTTCACTTTCAAAAGACTCACTTTTTTATTTAAGTCATTTTTTTGGTTACAATGCTAGCTGGCAAACGTTATCTATGTCAAATAAACAGCTTAACGTGTAATCATACCTTCAAAACAACTGTGTAAATAAATCAGTGTGTGATTTTTATTTTTTGCATAGGCTCGTTATTAGATGGAAGGGTTGGTAGCAAATAGTAGGGTATAAAATAGTTGTCGGGATGTCCACGAGTCTGGGAGGGTGTTGCATAAGCTTCTTATGATGGCAGTCGAATAGCTCTTGACAGATTGTGAAGCACTTGCAAGTTAATGTCAGATTACAAGTATCAATTTGTACAGCAATTAACATTGTCAAGAGAGCCCTATTAATCCAGCTGATAAATTGACAGTAACTAATATGCGCTTTGACCTACTTTTTAAGTACTGGTGCTGGTGTAGCACTAATGTAAAAACGTTTGCGTTCTGGATTCTGTTACCGGTATTTGAGGCACAAACTCTGCTTGTTCTCATCTTGTAATAAAACGATTGTTTGTGTAGGAATGAAGTGATGTCATCTTGATTCTGCGTTGCAAAAGTACCCGGTAAAATGCCGATGATATCACGTCCGCTGCACCAATCGAGTGGTTATTCTTACGATTTGCCTTCTCAAGTTTGGGGGGATAAGAAGTGGATTTCTAGAATATGGATGGAAAAATTCAGAATATGAACCCTTTTTATCTTACATTAATCTGTCTAGGTCGTAAATTGTCAATAATCGTTGGTCGAAATTCAGCGATGTGTCCAATAATCCGCCATCGAATGTTAAGACTAGTTTTGCTTGACAGTTAAATAAAAACCAAGTTTTTTAGATCACTTTTTCCCCGCGATAGGTACAAGTTCATCTTGGTGACATCAACGACAACGCACCCACTTGGCTCTTTCCTCCAGAATCGAATGTGGTTGTAAACGTTACCATTCACGAACCCGTAGGACACCAAGTGGCTCTATTACGAGCCAGTGACCCTGATCTCGGTGAGAATGGCCAAATAATGTTCAAAATTATCCACGTATCCGTGCTATCCAACACAGCGGCAACCAGTGATTCACGAAATGACAGCCAAACAGAGATCGAGTTAGTTAAACCGGAGATGTTTGAACTGGACCCTTCCACCGGAGCTCTCTATATTGCGCGTCCACTTCGAGCCTCTGACATGGGTCTTGTCAAACTGCTCATCGAGGCGAGTGATATGGGCAAACCGAATAAGTCTAGCCACCGCACAATCCTTTTCAATATCATGGACTTCCAGCGTCCCAAATACACAGACCCCAGTAGCAACCGAATCGGTGCTCCCTTCACCTCTGGAGGCTCGGGCTTCCAGCACCACGACCTCGTAGTGATTGTTGTAATGGTGGCTGTTGCAATTGTCATCTCACTCTTCCTCATTGTCGCAATGCTCTTTCTCCGATGTCCGGTTTGCCTCTTCCACGATCGACCCATGAACAGTTACAACAACGTGGCACGGACCACTGTCGGGTTACCATCCAGCCACATGGGTGCCCATCAAGAAGCCTACCTGCCAGAGGTGTTCAGGGACTCACATGCAATTGGCACCCTAAGCGGAAAAGACGGCTCGCTGGTGAGTGGAGAAGAGACCCTTTTTTATCCTACGGACAGAGACAAAATTATCCCTTCAAGAGGCTCCGTATCGGGCAAAAATATACTCACTATCGACTATGATGGGGCTCTTCAAGATGAAACTCTAGCACAATACCAACAAAGCAGACAATTTTTCATTCTGGCCAAGCCTGACAGAGGCTACGCAGTGAGCATGGACGGAACACCAATCGAACTCTCCACTCTGGGTAAATATGGTCGCATAATCTTAAGTTTTACTTTAGTTAGGTCCCCGCATCCGGTTAGTAAGCGAAATTGTTATGCTAATGGATAAACCGATTTATAATTTAGTCCTATAAATAGTACGATAAATCAGTCTTGAATATTACTTTCCCCAAATCTAGCAAATTGTGGAAATTTTTAAGTACAAAAATCAAAAAATACTTTGTAAAAGTAAAACAGGCACCGAAGGTCACAGCATCTTAACACTGTTAAATGTTGAAATCAGATATGCATTTGGAAGTGGAGGTATCCATTTAACATCTTAAATGACTTGCGGCACCCATGTATAAATATATCAAAATACAACGTTTCAGCAAACTAAAAATCAGGTTTGTCGAATTTTTTCTGGCTGATCTAAATCACGCATTGATTTTACAATGAATTTTAACTAGTGCAAAACCTGGATGGCGATTTGATAAAATTTCCACTCCTTTTCAATTGGAGAGTGCTTTGATAGAAAGAGATCAGGTTTCAGAAATATCGGTATCGTACTGTAAAAATACAGTGAAAAATATGCCTATTCTTAACTTGTTTTCTAGTCTTGTATTTACCATAGCCACAAACTGACAAAATTCCCACTGTTAGTGATAATTTATGCTTTAATGTTATCACCGATTTAAGTGTATTTCTTAAGCCCATGTGTAAGTGAGGCAAAGGAATAATTATGGCCATTTAGCTCATTAATCATGCCAGATAACCCACTGTCTAATTAGGATGTTTAAAACGAAGGCGTAGCGGCGCTCACTGTGTTCGGATGGCAAAAAGGCGTGAGTTTTGTGGCCGTAGCACCTGACGTTAAAATATGTCTTCTTTTCAAACGCATACGCGGGGTTTATGGTTGCTTGGCCGGCATCTACACATTCCACTCGACTCTACGGCCGGAATCACTTACCCTTAAAGATTTGGACCGACTTTGACCGTGGCCACTGTGGCGTTTTAATACGCTTTTGCTTTTATTATTTATTTCAGATAAGAGCTTTGACTTTAAAATTGGTATGGTATATGTTATTTGCACAACCAGATTCGGCGGGCTAATGTATCAGTCTCTGCATGTATCTTACAGATGACGTTAAACACGAATTTAGGTCCGAAAAAGGCTGACCTAGAAATAAAAGCAGAAGTTGTCTTATGCAATAAGTCTTTCAAACGCAGAAAATTAGTGTGGTGGAACACAACAAATGAAGTTGGAAGAAACAATAAAACCCATAGTTAACAGCTGCACAGTTTTAAATTGACAATGTTGCGGGTAAAACCCCTCATCAAAACAAAAGCAATCTCGTAATATCCAAATAGCCAATTTGCTGTATGGCAAGCGAATAAATGGACAATAGAATCAAGGAAACTCAGTGATATAGACAATTCAAACTTCTAATTAATATTTCCACAGACGTATTATCGTCGTAAACTCAAAATAAAATCAGGGGGAATAATGGAAGTTCCATTAAGTCGATTGTCATTAATGTGAAAAGTTGGACTTCCAAAAGGTTTTAATGTACCTAATCCTAACTTCGAATGGTCTTTAGTAGAAATGTTGTTCTCACAATTATTCTAAAATGCATCACTCTGGTTAAGATGAGATTGTAAGAACTCCTGTCCGAGGGCGAATATTTTTCCAACGATAATGATCATGCTAAGTTCATGGGATACACGCAAACGATGACTTTTGTACTTATTTGCCGCTTAGAAAATGCCAATGTGCCTCAGCACCACCACCAACAGCAGCAAAGCCAACAACAGACCTCGGAGGAGCAGGATATTAGGACCTCGCAGAGTGCCTCTTGCCTCTCTACTCAGCTCACCACTACGCCTAACGGATATCACAGCGAAAGCGACCTCGAAGAGGAGCCTCTCAGTACTGTAAGTTACTGCACTCGGACCAATCTTAACCTACTGCTAAGCCTTTAACAAAGTTTATTTCAATCAGTAAAAGCAGTTGGTTGACATTGGCAATCATAAAATTTAGACATTTGTTTAGTTTTATCAATGAAGCAAAGCATTATTTGCTGGCTCATCTTTGATTAAAACATTTGTGTAGAGATTTTAATTTGTTTGTATAAAATCAGTCGAATGTCACGTTGATGCCTTTGAAAGCACTAAGTTTGCTTTAAAATGTAGGCACAGAAGGTGCAGCAGAAATAAGCAGTGGTATCAGTATAGTATAGAGATAAACCAATGTGACCTTTTCCGAAAATGTACGTGATGCTGGAAATACTATTTTTAACCGTGCACGTCTGTTTGTTAAAACCCCAGTGACTTTTTGAAAGCACTGACCTCCGTGGTATGGCCACCGCTAACACACCTCTGAGGTGCCATTTGACCTTTTTGATTCATCCAAAAGAAAGTTGACTTTGGTGTTGACAAGCCTACTGGAAGACGCCTTTGGTGCAGTACTAAGCAATGACCATCTTTTATACCTTTGATTAACATGTTGGTATTTAGATTGTTTCATATATCTATCACTTGTTAAGCCACGTAAACATTCATACGATGACAGTGGCCAGTTGCTGTACGATTAACGCCGAATGAATCTAAATTTTTTAAAGCCAGTAGACTTATTCATTGAGTAAACCACTTTGTTTTTCGTCCTCAAAGACAATGGCAATAAATTCCAATTAGGTGTGGAGAAATGTGCCGCACCCGCGAGCACGCAAAATGGAATATTCAAAATCACGCATATATTTTCACCATCAAGTTTTTGTTACAGACACCTAGTAAATTTTCATTCAAAGCGGTGTTTTCGCATATACTATAATTTATGGTTTATCCAAAAATTTAGCTCACTAGTTGCGGTTATTTATTGTTCTTCCCAAATCTCCAAATACACCCTTGCATTAACAATTTTAGCAGAGAAATAGACCGTTGAATCAAAGGTGGGATGTGCTTATGCCATCGTTACTTAAACAATCCATTTGTTTTTGAGTGTGCTTTTTAGTTTGACTAGTCAGTCTTGCCTTGCATTAAATCAAAATTTAATTAGAATGTTTTGCAATGATAAAACATCTTAATTTACTTTTTGTCCACCTCCTTTATGATGGCAAGAGCTGCGTAACCTTTCAGGAGATAAGAGGTGAATCGCTTAGAAGCAAACACGGCGGTTATGCTTGTTAGCGTTTTCTAGCGTATTATTGCTTTAAAAAAATTAAAAAATAGGCTGCATGCACTAACTTTTTTGCAAAACAAATATTTAAAATTAATAAAATCAGAACTTAAGCAAAAGCATGACCAAGTAAATAATTAAATTTGAAAGGACAGTGTTTATTCTCACTTATACGTGATTTGGTGTATGTGCATATGAATAAGTAATTTCCCGCATGTTTCAGAAGAAAAGTACCTGGCGGACGAGGAAGGGTTCCACAGGGGTTGAACGTGCTGGCAGGACAAAGGCCACTACATGTGAGTGTGGCAAAGTACCTTTTTTGATGTTTTTGGATATTTTTGTACGAGCTTCACTTGCCATTGTCATTCTTTCATCTGTACTACATTCCTTTTATAAACAGAAACTGAAAGGCATAAACTTAGGGGCTAATTTCTACCTAGACTGGTGGTAAAAAGACAGCAACGAACAGTCCACTTACAATTTACAAATATTTAGGGCACTTTTACTTCTCAGGTATTTTTTAAGAGATTTTATTTTTGTATTTCTTTGAATGATAGAGATGATTACTGAGTCCATCTATAACTATTTCCAATTAATTAAGCAGAATTGCATGGACTGTCGTGAGTTGAAAATTTTTACCTCTTATTTAACGAACTTGGGTGGGTGTATAATGGTTGGATTTTCAATCCAAACATTGATTCACCAAAACCCTATCTAGTTAGCAATGCAAATGCAGACATGCAGGTTGTTTTAACAAATCACCTTCATAGTTTGAAGAAAGTAAGAAGCCCAATAGCTAGCTTTACTCACAATATCAACTTGCTTTGGCTGGCTTCTGATGCTCTGTAAAGCAATTTGAGTAACAAGGTTACTGTTTGAATGTCCACCTTATAAATGGCTCAATGTGTGTTTGCTCAGCAAGATTAAGTCCTCCACGTTTTGTATAAAAAGTAGCTGCGGAACAGGTGACCTACAGAGCTGGCGATGATTTTGACATCTTCTGTGTACTCCTGAGGAGAGCTTAAAATAGTAGGATAAAGATTCGCTAGATAGTGGAAATTAATTGGTATGGAATCTTAAAATACAAGACTTTGAAGCACTGTTGGCCTCTCGTGTTCCGAGAATCACTAAATATGTAACGTTTAACTTAAATTTTTATTCTTAGCCTATCAAAGGACTAACAAGTTTATAGGTATTTCTAGACCTATGCAAAAAAAGCAGAGATTTAAGTCTTATGAATTTGATTCCAGCCAACAATTATAAGAAACATTTAGGTTCTTGCAATGACAAGATGAGCTCTGCTTATATTTTATTCATTTTAAATTAATGACAGTAAGTAAAAATAAGAGGTCAGGCGTCCACGTTGTCGTCTCCTGTTCCTGTGTAAAGCGCAAAACTATTTAAAAAGCAGCCATTTTTGCATTTTGTATTACTAAAGACCTATGATGTTTCAAATGACTGAGCAAGTACCGTTCAAGTACCATCAATGTTCATGCGTAACACATAGCTACTATCAGTAATATATCTGCACAATATTTTTGTACCAGACAACTTCTAATGCCTTTGGCAACTACCAATTAATGTGGACTACCACCTAGCAATCGCTTTAGTGAAACTTTTCTCAAAATTGGTAATATCTCTAGCCAAAAACAACAACATGAGTTTTTAAGGATCCACTTTGGTGACTTATGTTCGATTTATTCGCTAACAGTTTTATTTAGAGACTATTAGCGATTTCCTTTAGGACGTATATTTCACAGATAAGGATGGTTTCGTCTGACTTTAGTGGGAAGAACTACCAGTTCACCTCGAAAAGTCTTCAAAGAGGAGAACCCCTATCCACAAGGTGGGGCACAGGAGACCCTACGTCTTCTGACCACCACCTCGCCGACAACACCGGGAAGTGGTGCAGCCCCATCGGAGACAGTCAAAAACAAGCAATGCTACACGATGTTGGTCAACACCCCTAGCACAACGCCCACAAAGGTGACCGCAGAGCAGCTACGCTATGTGCAGATCCACAATACCCCCACCCACCTCGGTAAGAGTACACGCAGTAACGGAGGGAGTGGTGGTGTTGGTGGTGGGAGCAAGAAGTCAGCGCCCACTGTCAGCTGGCGCATGGAACCGCAAGAGCTACACACCTATTCACCTGAGAATGAGACCGGGCAGACTGCACTTACTGGCCAGAGGACTTTCGTTGACCTTGAGAATGGCTACGCATGCCTCGGGAAGGGAGCAGAGACCAACGTCATGCCGCCCTACGACCAGTTGGTGCACCGCCTTCGCGACGTAGACGTCAACAGAGACGAGGTTACTAGCGGTGGCTCCTTCTCCGAATTCTCCAATAGTGTGATATAAGTATACTCTCTTCTCTCTCCCTCCTTCCACCTCACTCATTCACTAACCCCTCTTCCTTTGGCTAATCATTTACCCTTTTGTACAGACATGGCTCGAGTATTGTAGATGGCAATGCAGAGAACTACTTTTTCTCTCTTTCTTTTATATGATTCTGTCAAAACCGCAGTAGCCAAGTTTTTTCCAAATTACTTTTTAATCATGTAAGGTAATGTATTACCAAAATTAATGGAAAACATGTAATATCGGAAGACATGGTTTATCTTACTTAGAAAATGCTATTTGCTTCTAGAGAAGAATGATGGTAGGTTAGTTTACATCTAATTTGGTAAATAGGAGCAACTTGGCCCATTTTAGTTGGCAAAACCTAGATGTAATAACTATTCGAGTATGAATTAGAGAAAATAATTTGGTTTTTTGCTTCAACAATATTATGCATTTTGCATGGATAAGTTTTCCCCGTGCAAGTAGCAAAAGATGATGGAAATGACTTATTTTTAACTTAGGAATATCTCATCTACATATTCTACAAAAATGCCATCCGACAAAAATATGACTGTTGTGGCTGAGTGATTTTTCGCTAAATAGGTACTTGCCTCCTCGACGCGTATAACTGATATTTACAGAAGGATTCTCCTCGTGAAGGTGCAATTAAAAAAGCGCTCTAATGCAGTGTGTGATACTGATCAACCAGGTTTATATACTGAGTCTGGATCCACCATTTACACATGTTATTGACAACAAACGTGAAATATGTTTGTGCCCATTTCCAATTTGTGCGAATAGGTGGAGGCATTTAGTCATACTGCAAAGTTCATAGCTAGCGTTCCTTTCTCAAGCGTGAAGCTCCATTAAGCGCGAACTATTAAAGAAGCTGTAACTTACCGGTTTCATCGCTAGCATAACTACAACGCACTGTCTTCTAATTATAAGGTGAGGGAAGTCTTTGTAGTTCCAGCCGCTCTGCTAGACCAGCATGCCTCGCGTTGAGTCATTGTATAGTACATTGTTAAAATATCTTACCACATTGTGGGAGAATTAATTTCCAGTTAATGTAAAGAAAGATGAATCGATAAGCGGGTTATTTACTGGCATCATCTATGTGTTTTAGGAAGCAGACTACTCTGCTGATGCTAAAAAATTCCTCTGAAGTACATCATGATACATTACAAACCTATGCTCACTAAAGCATGCACCTAAAACCTTTTGGGGTTTTTCAAAAAGATATCCGCCTTCAATTATTTAGTCATTAAGCCTGCAAGTCCTTTCCAACTCTTGCAAAATTATCGCTAAACAAAAGTAGAATTTAGTTAAATTCAGCTGTCACTATTTGAAAGTAGAACAGATTTTTTACTGCCATTCATCTTGTTGCTTTAAAGATGAGCCTGGGGTTGTAGTTTCTTTTTTGGCAAATATAGGTGTCAAAATTTTTATGTCTTTTGAAAGTTACTTAATATTTCTTCAAAGGTTAAATTACAAAACCCATTCCTTGTTTTGAAAGGTCATAAATAATTTAAAGCTGTAGTGGGAGGCTAAGTAAATTGTTTTAAGGCAACCCATGTGGTTATTTTCAAAAGATTTCATTCATTTCTACAATTTAATCTGCTTTTACAATACCCTCACTTAATCACCACCAACCGCCAATACCTGGGGAACTTCCCAAATGTCTCTCTTTCAAACCCGGTGTAACAAGTACTGGTCGAATTTCCAAGAATTCAACGCAAATCCTTTTCACTACAACATTTTACAATTTCGTAGACAAATTTTTCGATAGATTATTTAGAAGAAAATCTGAAAGTCAACACTGGTATTAGGAGTCTCTATGATTCCTCACATTAGCATAATAAAAAATGCTCATAAATTTGGTATCTGCGTGATTTGTATCCAAAATTGTCTATTCTTTGCATGTTGATGAAATACCTGATTATCCTGAAATATGGTGACACAAAAAGAAGACGCTAATATAACAGCTGGCCCTTTGGTCACCACATGTGTTCATCCTCAGATTTGGCGTTTTTCGTTTGCGCAAACCTGCAAATAATCTCCAAATTTGAAAATACAGATCACTAATTACACGTAGTTTTGCATAGAACATTGTTGGGCATCATTCAATTTCATAAGGTTAACATGTACTTTCAATTAAATGGCAGCAGGTGGCAGTGTATTGTCACCGGACCTTACCTGACACTTCTAAACGTGTAAAAAGTTCCAGTCCTATGAGGTTAGCTCATACAGGTAATAGCTTATATTTTTGAATTTACAATTGCACAAATCTATTTGTCGTGCTTTTTAAGATTAATGGAATATGTTGATTAATGTGAGAAATTTATCTTATGTAGTTCATGGGGAAAGAGCATCTCTTCATTCTCAAAGCCAGTAGAAGACTAGGGACCCCTTGCATTTGTGCTTCTTTCAGTATTTTATTTTTTTGACAATTCCAGCACATTCTTTGGTAACTGAAATGAATTCAAATATATTTAATGACTTTCAGTACATTATTCCCGAGTAGTAGGGCACTCAGAGCAAATAATCAAGTCTGAGAAACCCTTGATATAACCCGCACCTAATCGCATCAGATGGAGCCATTTTGATTGGCATATATTTTTTGGTGTTACACTGGTACCATATAGGAGAAAAATCCCCAATTTTTATTACGCTTTTCAGTATTTTGCTGTAAAATGCATATCTCAAACGGCATGTGAGCATTAAAATATTATTTAAAGCAAACAGCATTCTATGCATGCAAATGTGGGAGGAACATGTTTTAAATGTTTTATTGGAGTGATTCGGGTAATGCTTTTATCCCCACCTCAGCGGCTCTTCGTATACTTTCTAACAAATGTTTCTGGCCAGAAATCTCCCTTTTTGTATTTTCAATAGAGTTCTTGATCAGTAACGGCGTAAACAAGGTACCAAAACCGTATGTTGGCGTTTCAGTCTAAGCATAATTGTTTTTAGGTATAATTCATCTTTCAATCTTAATGTCAGATATTGTTTTACCCGACAAATTTACTAGTTTTTTAAAGTCACCTACCTGCAAAGGGGTAAAGTAAAGAGAATAATCATACTTTGATGCTGAATAAAGTCAAAAGAAATACATATATCTGAATGCTTTTCTCCTTTCTTCAAAACCGTAGCGGCGGTAACATCAACATATTCCCAAATTCGCCCTTCCATGTCAACTTCACTACATCCGGCACTAAAGTTCCATGCATCTTCCTGCATTTTCCCTATGGAAAACTGAATGAATTTTCCCTAAAAGAATTTTATATAATGATTATCTAGTTCTCTGATTTGACTAGCAGGGTAGGCAAGTGCTGATCTCTGATGCATTATCTCCTTTTCATCGTCTCTGTAACTTAATTTTCGTGTTTGTTGGAACACAATTGTTTGGATATGCTTAAGTATTTCATTTTTGATGTATCCTTTTAATATCCTTAGTTATAACTAATTTCTTATGGTTTCGGTAATCATGGGTCTGCTTCTTCGATTCGTTACCAAATACTACAAATTCGTGTTTTTTTGTCCTATGGTACATAAAATCCCATCTGAGGCTACAGTGGTAGGCTGGAATGTAGATTTTTCTGAGGATGTACTGAGAAAAATACCAGCTGAGTGTCTCTTTAATGTTTATGCTTTACAAAACTAAATCAAACTTCAAACAAAGAGGACTAAAGTTGTGTATTTGGACTACGCTCACACCTTTAAGTATTAATGTTTTGCAGGCATTTTGTTGTGTATACTGCCGTATGATGCTAGGAATTTGGTGAATGCACAAATTTAATCGGCAAAGATCTTACTTTATTTAACTTAAAAAATCCTTTGTTCCGCATCGTATCATTGGCAGTTACTTCTTCTGCATTTCCAACTAAAATTGCAGACCTACGAAGGAATAAGAAGATATGCTACATGTCTTTTGGGTCTCATTCAACATTTATGAAAGTCATAAACGTCAAAGAATAACTAGTTAATGTTGCTCAGTTGTCTTGGAACGTAAGGTGGCTAAAGTTCACAAATTACTAGCCCCTCAAAGAAAGATGCATCAAGTCACTTCTAAAATAATTTGCATTCGAGGAAAATTGGTAGGATGGGAAAATCGCAACAACTCCGTTAAGTTTCTACATGTGTGCTTCCAACATGTCCATCCGTCTCCTGTTTAATATCCATTTTGGACAAACGGTGGTGTGGTATCACCACCTTCTATTGTATGAGGGGCAAACATACCTCACAAATTATTCTGCTATCCACTCATCTCACTGACATTACAATAACTGAAATTACATCTTCGCGATTTATAACTTCAAGACTCGGTTTATGCGTGGATCTTTGAGAGTACTGTCGGAGATATATCATAAGGGTGGATTTAATATTGTATTGTCTCCAAGATTCCTCACCTGCAGCATATGTTTGTGTACTGATGGCATGTTTAGGGCAAAATATAAACAGTTATTTGAATAAAAACCTGCAACTAACCCAGATCGGGTTTCATGGTGGCTCAGAACCATTAAGCGCCTCTTATTTTGTAAGGGAACGTTGTATACGACGAAACTAATGTCAAGTAAGGTAAAGCCAATTTAATCACCGCCATAAGTACTTGCCATACAATCACAATTTATTGTAGACTTAATCATAATAAAGTTAATTGCACTTGCCTTTTGTAAAACATCCCACAATCCCTTATAAATGTTCCAAGCGGCATCCAAGTACCACGAATTTTCCGTGGATCTTACCATACACTGTAAACTAGCAGTTATTTCATTTCTGTAGCATGCATATTTCCACTGTTAAAGCTGTTACACTTCTTATCTAGCATGTGACAAAGGATTCAGCATATAAGTGACTAAGGGCCTGCTTAAGGAAGGTTTGATTTGACAGGCCTAGGGTATAATAAGCCTTGTCACTGCAATTCCGTTTGTGACACACCGAGATTTGCCTTCGTCCTCGGCTCAACCATAAAGTTCACCACAGAACGACGCATTAACTCGGCCACCCGCAAAGGCGAC